ACCCCATCATTAGCGGCTTCAACCCCGATCCCAGCTGTGTCTTTGTGCCCGAGTTCAATAACACATTTTTTCTGCGCTACGTCAAGCTTCCTCGTCTTCCCAGGTCTCCCCATCCACGCCAGCCATGATCTCGTTCATTGGAAGCATGTGTCCAATGGCTTCAGTCGCCCAGACCAACTACCCGGCATGGCTTTCTTGCCCAAGGCCACGAGCGGCATTTATGCGCCGACGTTGCGTTTTCACGAGGGCATCTTCTACCTCATGACGACCCTTGTGAACCAGCAGCTCCCCCGCGTCAACGACTCCCGCTGGGACAATTTCCTCGTGACCACCACAGACCCTTACTCCTCGGACGCCTGGTCCGATCCCGTCCACTTCAGCTTCCCCGGCTTCGATCCATCCCCCTTCTGGGATGACGACGGCAAGACGTACGTGTCCGGCGCCCACACGGCAGCTTACTATCCCGGCATCATGCATGCGCCCCTGGACTTTGTAACGGGCGAAATTGGCTCCATCATCATGCCCTGGAACGGCACCGGCGGCGCCTCACCCGAAGCCCCCCACATCTGGAAGCGCGACGGGTGGTATTACCTTCTCCTTGCCGAGGGCGGCACGCGCGAGAACCACATGGTCACGATGGCACGCTCCCGGCAACTCGAGGGACCGTACGACCCCGCCCCGGGGAATCCCCTCCTCACAGCCGCCAACGACACAAGCTCATACTTCCAGGCCGTGGGCCACGCCGATCTCTTCCAAGACGCCGAGGGGCAGTGGTGGGCGGCGGCGCTGGCGGTGCGTGCAGGCGGCTCCTACGGCGAGGCGCCGGGCCCTTATTTCGGGAACCTGCCCATGGGGCGCGAAACCGTTCTGACGCCCGTGACGTGGCAAGACGGGGAGTTTCCCGTCTTCACGCCCGTGACGGGAAACGTCTCGGGGTGGCCTCTGCCGCCGGAGAGCATCCCGGCGCAGGGCGAGGGCCAGCTGAGCGATGCCGACGACAACGTGACGTTTCCGCCGGGGAGCAGCCTGCCCCTTCACTTTGTTCACTGGCGGCTCCCCAAGACGAGAAACTATGCCGTCTCGCCTGCGGGCCATTGGAACACCCTCGCCCTGAGGTCCTCGGTCCTGAACCTGACGGCCTTTGACGCCGACTTTGCGCTCGGTCGCGGCCAGACTTTCGTCGGTCGAAGGATGGCGCATTCGCTTTTCACGTTTAGCATTGACGTCGACTGGACTGCCTCCCTGACGAAGGAGGAGATGGAGGTGGGCGTTTCGGCCATGCAAGACCAGGCGCAGCACTTTGATCTCGGCATCGTCATGCTCACGTCAAACGGGAGCCGTGACCTTCGGCCGCACCTGCGTTTTCGGGGCCACTCGGAGACGCCGTATCGCGGACGCACTCATGTGCCAACAGAGGTGTTTCCCATCCCGCACGAGTGGGTCGGCAGCAAAGCGAGGCTGCAGATCGAAGCCGTGAACAGTACGCACTATGCATTTTCGGGGGGTGTCGTCAGTGCTGGCGGGGAGAGCGAGCTGCGTGTATTTGGACACTGTCGGGGGAGGGATCTGGTGCCCTATTACTCTGGTACGTTCCGTAATGCCCGTCATGGGCACTTATCTGGTCTCTTGCGCTGCTGTGCTAACGGAGCAAGGCCTCGTGCTCGGTGTGTACGCCACATCGAATGGTAAACACGGAGAGCAGGCTTTTGAAACATACGTCTCGAATTGGCGTTATCGAGGCCTACGACAATTCAGAAGCGACGCGGACGCCGGCCCGCCGTGAGGACTGTCCGATTCATCATTTTCGACAGAGGGAGGATTATATAGGGAGTACCTCCTTAACATTGTCAGTGAGCTGAATAATAAGGCGTGTATTCGCGACGCTTCAAGTCTGGGTATCTGTTCCAGCAACCGCGCTTTGGTTTGAGAGAGGCCGGCCGGTGGTTTTCTTTTTGGAAGCCCTAGTTTTGACGAACAGAAATCCCAATGGCATTGAAAGGGGATGAATTGTCCACAGTCCAGCGTTGAATAGGTGTACAAATACTTGTTCTCGTCAACTACTCACCTAAGCAGGGAGGCATGGTGCGCAAAGAAAAGCAGATCTTTTCTCGTGGGAGACACTAGAGAGAACAGTATCATCGTCCCGGAGAAAGTTTGAAGTTGGTGATTTATTTGTGACAAGGCCTCTGTCGGTTCGCATGGATGAGACATCACTTGACAATTAAACAAAACAAAGACTTTTTTCTTCTAACGAAACAGCAAAAACATCGTGCACACCAAACCGCATGATTTTGGTCCCGAGCTATAAAAGATGGAGTTCCCAGTGGAAGACTCAATGTTAGGGGTCTTGGCTTGGTCACACACATGTCTGGTGTAGTACAGCTTTCAAGGAGAAGGTGCTATACCCCTAATGATGACTTTTCCACCTAGTATTCTGTTGACCTGGTCCTGGTGTTGAACGACGCTCGATAGCTCACGGCATGGCGAATCAATCAAAAGCCAGTGCAACCCGAGATGTGATCGATTCGACAACTCCCTGCCAGTCTCGTCGATATTTCAAAGACGCCTGGTGTTACCTCTTGTCACGAGCACCAGACTTGTAGTATACAGCATTAATACACTATCGCTTCGCTGTAGTCTTCCTCCAAGTGTCACTGTAAACACAACCTCCCCCCCTCCCCCCCCAGAAAACCATATACTGTCATGCGTAGATGACTAGAAGATATTGCATCATTCGGAAGACGACGTTCCCAGTCCATGCATGCATCTCGTGGCCCCAACCAATCAACAGGACAGGGGGCGGTCCGAGGGGGCTCTCTCGGGGTCCGGGTGGCTAGAACCTTTCCGACTTTTCGGTATCAACACATCCGCAGGCTGTGTGCAACCCCCTACCCTCCCCAAAGCAGATACGCCACCAACAGTGACAGCCGCCAGGGCCAGGTCCGCGGCCGGATCGGCGAGAGGATGCCTGGTGCGGGCATGTGGTCTTAATCAATCAGACGTATTGGGCACTCTGGGTAAGGCTGATGCTACCTGACCTGTCATTCCGAGCCATCATTTGGCTATGTGTGCGAGAGAGAGAGAGAGAGAGAGAGAAAGAAAGAGAGAGAGAAGGGTAATTTGCATTCTACCAGTGGCGGACTCTCGCTATCGTAGGCGTCAGGGTTCAACGAGAAAAGAAGATCAACCGCCGAAGCAAGACCTTGATGGTCGTGTCGATCCCCGGTCAATCAGCTGAAGGCGGGCAAGACGACATAAAAAAGGCAGACCGACAACCAAGGAAAAAAAAAAAAAAAAGATTAACATGTGCCATGAAGCCAACTGGACCAACCAATCCAAGGTACAGGACGTGGCGAGAGGGTTGCATCAGAGGTGCGCATCGCATGCCAGGCCATCAGGGCCACACCATGCCGCCATTGATTACCCGGAGTAGGACCCTCGGAAGGCGCCCCATTGGCGATTCGGCAGTGGGCTCTTCGGCAGGGGTAGAGAAGGGCAGAGGGGCCCACGCTCGCTGCATAGCATGGCAGACCGGGGGGACGGGATGGGCTGCAAAGGAGGAGGGAGAAGAAAAAAAAAATCAAGAAGGCTCTCGATGGCAAAATGCCCAGGATGTGTGGTTGTTCACCGTCTTCTGGAAATGGGCTGTGTCTTCCACCCCTCCTCCTCTTGCTCCCGATCGCTCCCCGCCTTGCCTGTGCACGCCATGAGTCAGAGCACCCGTACTTGCAGAGAACCCCCCAAGGACGCCAGAGTTTGGCAGAATATGGCGTGCGCGCGTGCCCGGCTTGGGAAACCATGGGAGGCGACGTTCCGTTGACGCCTCATTGTGATGGAGTGAAGGAGGAACGGAGACAACAAAAAAAAAAGGACGAAAGACGAAAGTCGCAACAGTCGCCTATGGAACGCCACTATCGCGACCTGCAGCGCGTGCTGTTGGCCCCCCCCCGGGCAGCAAGGTTCTGCATGGTACTCGCTCGGCGGACATAACCCTTGGCTTGGTACCACCCAACAAGTACCTACAGTCAAAGCTCGGCCGTTCATTCATATTCAGGATCCATCATGAATGTGGAGATTGTGGCTCCCCCGGTCCACTGGACTCTCCTCATTCACTCAGGCTCGTACACGTGTAGGCGGTACGACTGCCTGTAGTGCCGAAGCCGAAGCTGAGTCTGAGCCTGGGCCAGAGGTGAGAGGTGAGAGTGCCTTGCTTCGCTTCGGAGAGGTAAAGGGCACTTGGAGAGAGGGATCGGTAAGTAGCGCGCTCAGCATCGCAGGCCCCAGCACGTACCTGTGAGGCCTCGACTTTGAGGTACCACTTACCTAGGTAGGTACGTCGGTGCTAGGCCACGATAGGCCGTATGGGGCCTCGTCCCTCGTACGGCCGTTTCAATGGGGCCCCATGGGCTATGACGCGACTTTTGCGACATGGAAGGGGCAGAAAAGAAGGGGGAAGGCGGCACAGGGGGGAAAGGAGGAGAAGGAGAAGAAGGAGAAGAAGGAGAAGGAGGAGAAGGAGGAGGAGGACAAGAAGAAGGAGGAACAGTAGGAGCCCAGGAGCCCAGCAGCACCGCAAAAGAGAAGGAGCGGTGTCTCGTTTTCTGGTGAACCACGCCCGCCTGCCCGGCCACGTCCCGAGTTCGGCGCGCGGCTCAACCCGGGAAGGCGCCCTCGACTCACCACCCGCCGTACCTTACTTACCTTACCCCAAGGAAGGAAGAGGAAGGTGAATGACCCAACCGACCTGCCTTTGCCTTCAAAATACACTTCAACGCACCCACCATCATTTGGGTCCTCCCACCCTCTTCACCGAGCTCCCAAGCTCCTCTCGTCAACGGATCTCGCGGAACCAAAAAGGAAGCAAGAACAGGAAGAGAAAAAAAAAATCTTCAACCATCACCCACCCCATCCTCGTTGTCATGGCCTGCGAGACACCGTGCAACGGCCTGCACGCAGCAGTTGCGATGACAAGCCCCTTGCTGATATTGT